TTTTGGGGAAACAATTGAATCCATAACAGGAAGGCAAAAATCAAAGAAAGAGAGGAAATTTGAACTCTTTATTAAGATACAACTATTAGATGCTAGAATGAAGTCAACAAAGTATCGAAGATTATTCTAATAAGACACAGAATTTTTGCTGTCTAGCAGATTACACAAAAAGTAAAGAATAACATTTTATATCATAGGTGAAGGCATTAGTCATTAAACCATAGGAGCACACCCTTCAAAATGAAATGAAATTTCCTAAGATGTTAACACATTTTATAGCTTCTTTTCCGAGTCAAATATAAACCAAGCAAATAAAATTCACTTGCTCCATTGTCTTCATTTATGTTCTTTCATATTCTAAAGCAAACAGACTTGCTTCAGGATAGTGGTGTTGTCTCAGAAGGTCCATGAAATCAAAATGGTTTTCGTATTAATACTAAGATGTTATATTTGTTAACATGTAGTACATTCATTATTGCTCATCTTTAAATGAGTCAGTATTTTAAAATTTTTGTAGTTTTAGGGGTGCTGGGTGACTCAGTTGCTCAAGCATCCAACTCTTGATTTTGGCTCAAGTCATGATCTCAGGGTCCTGGCATCGAGCCCTGCATTGGGCTCCACGCTCAGTGGGGAATCTACCTGAAGGTCAGGTCCCCCTGCTGTTCTCCCAGCTCTGCGTGCTTCTTCTCTCTCTAAAATAAATAAATCTTTAAAAAAAAAAAAACAAAAAAGGGGGCACCTGGGTGGCTTAGTTGGTTAAGTGTCTGCTTTCTGCGCAGGTCCTGATCCCAGGGTCCTGGGATTGAACCTGCATTGGGCTCCATGCTCAGTGGGGAGCCTGCCTCTCCCTTTGCCACGCCCCCTGCTTGTATGTATGCTCTCTTTCTCTCTCTGGCAAATAAATAAAATCTTTATCAAAAAATTATTTATTTATTGAGAGAGAGAGAGAGAGCACAAGCAGGGGGAGCGGCAGGCAGAGGGAGAAGCAGACTCCCCGCCGAGCAAGGAGCCCGATGTGGGACTCGATCCCAGGATCCCAGGATCATGACCTGAGCCAAAGGCAGGCACTTAATTGACTGAGCCACCCAGGAGTCCCTAAAATCTTAAAAAAAAAAAAGAACACGTACATTGTTGTATCTCTGTCAGTACTGCTCCTAAATAGAAGTACAATTTACAGAATAGTAAGTAGCTCAGTAACACCTTTCAGCAATTCCTGAAGGATGCTCTAATCAGGGCTTAGTATTGGTAGGCAGGGAGCCCTGTTTCAAAGTCTTCACAATTTTTTCTTACAATGTAAAAAGTATTTTGTAAAGAGCAAGGAGAATGTGAAATAGCCCTCCTAGATATGACAATATGTACTATATAAAACTATAACAAATCAGATTATTGGTATATATAAAGATATTCAGATCATTAGAATTTAATGGAAAGTCCAGGGGAAGGGAAATTCCATGTAGGTATTGTATATATTATACCCTGTATAAGTGTGTGTGTGTATATATATATACATATACACACACACACCCTATATGAGGTATATTATACCTTATATAAGAATATAATATTCTATAAGGTGTATATTTGACTTACATTGTATATAAGTTTTATTTCAAATTCAAACTCTAGTTGCTTGGTAATTGTTCTTGGAGATATATATTCTCAAGGACTTTGAGAGAACACTTTGGTAGAGAAGAGTGTCAGAATTTTTTAGCATTGTGGTTATAGGTGGAAGAGGTAGTGCCTTTTCATAACTTTAAAACAAGGCATCACTAATCTGAGAAGGGAGAATTACTCAGCACATGAAAATTGGGGAGAAAAGGTCAGTTTAGATCCTAACCTGAGTTATATATATAACCTAATAGTTTATAACACTAAGGTATAAAGGATTAAAGAATTAAATGTTTAAAAGTTCTTAAGAAAATAATTCTCTGATTCAAACATGGGAAAAGCCTTGGGGCTCCTGGGTGCCTCAGTCGAAAGAGCATGTGACTCTTGGTATCGAGGTTGTGAGTTGGAGCCCCATGTTGGGTGTAGAGATTACTTTAAAAAAAAAAATACACACACACATGAAATGGGAAAGCCTCTTTCAGCATTATGGCAATGAAAGTCTTTATAAAGGAAGAGATAAATACATTTGATTAAATGGAAAAACAAATCTTCTGTGAGTCAAAATTAAATAATTATTTAAGAAAAATTGTTGTAGCAAATACAGCCTAGGATTAATTAGCCTGAATATCCAAAGTGCTCATACATATTGGTGAGAAAAACAGGGAGACACCTAATAAATAAGACAAACATTAACACACTTAATAGTTAAAGGAAATTAATGGAAATGCTCAAAGAGGAAATTCATGCAAAAATTATTACTCTCTTGGAGCACCTGGGTGGCTCAGTCAGTCTTGATTTTGGCTCAGGTCATGGTCTCGGGGTTGTGAGATCAGCCCCGTGTGAGGCTCCACGCTTGGCGGGGAGTCTGCTGAGATTCTCTCCCCCTCTTCCTGCTCATGCACTCTCTTTTTCTCTAAATAAATAAATCTTTAAGAAAAATTATTATTGGGGCACCTGGGTGGCTCAGTCGGTTAAGTGTCTGCCTTTGGCTCAGGTCATGATCCCAGGGTTCTGGGATCGAGCCCCAGCGGAGAGCCTGCTTCTCCCTCTCCCTCTGCTTGCCGCTTTGCCTACTTGTGCTCTCTCTCTGTCAAATAAATAAATAAAATATTAAAAAAAATAAAGAAAAATTATTATCCTCTTTAGTATCAAAGAAATGCAAGTTTAAAAGGCAAGAGAAGAGCAAATAAATGGAAAAGATCAAGAGTAATTTTTTCCTATTACAGGGTAACAAACTCTGTAGTTTGGGGAGCTAATGGGCCAGCTACAAGATGAGGAAGTAATGTTCGCATATCATCATTTTTCAACCCACAGTGAATTAATAGTCTAAGCACTGAGCGTCAGTGGTTCCTAACATTGCAGAAAGGAACCCAGCCACACATTATGTGCTTCCTGATAGAAGAACAGCCCCCACTACCACCTTGTAATAGTTTTGTTGAAACTATCAGACTTTAATTAAAGCCTTTCTAGATCCAACTACCAATTTACAGGAAGTACAGAAGACCAAGAAAAATGTGAGGAGAAACCTCGAGGATACAATTAGCAAAATTAAGTCTGCAAGAAGCTGTATAAGACAGATAAACTAGATTATGTAAACTTTTTGGAGTAGTGATTAAAAGGAAATTAAGAAAAATAATTTTTGGTACCTTCCTCATATTCCCAAGAAACCTATTCATGTGCTGTACTCATCCTTGATTATTTATAGAGAGCAGAATCACATTTTAGGGATAAATGAATAACGTCCTGCTAAATCTTTTAAGGAAGCGAACGATTTCATTTAGATTTGTGAAAATGATGTAGAGAAAAGATTTTAAGTGGAATCATTAGTTTATTTAATATTTTAGATTTACCCGTTTAATCTGTTCTTAAAAGTTATTTTTGATCTAGAGCATTCTTGGTACTTGTGAAAAATTTAGTCATGTTAATGTTCTGAACTCTGAGGTTCTTAGTATGTTCTAAGCTAGGTATATATTACTTCATATTATATATTGATGTTAACAAATATTTAATGAGTTCTTTTGCAAATAAAACATTGTGCTTGGTAGTAAGGAATAATCAAGGAAATTAAGTTGTGGTCCTTCCTTAAGAATGTATAATTCTCTAGCAGCCATGGTCACAAATAATACAAGGTAAAGAACTAGTAAACTAAAGGGTGGTGTGGGGGTCAGGAGTAGGATGACAGAAATGCATTATATTTGGAAATAATGAGCCTTAGGTTACAGTATTGGGCTTTGATGTGTTGGTATGTGATACCTCTAAGTACTAGCCAAGCAGTGCTCTCCCCCACTCCCCGCAGTACTTTTGATAATAGATACTCCTTCCATTTTGAGAAGCAAAAAAGAAAGAAAGGAAGATGCATCAAATATCTTTTTGAAAAAGAACTTTATTGTCTTAATTTTACTGCTACTAAATTTGCTTATTAATTTTTTTGGACTGGATTTTTTTTTTTTAAGATTTCTTTTTTTGAGAGAGAGAGGGGTGGGGGGAGGTGCAGAGGGGGAGTCTTAAGCAGAAGCTGACTCCCACTGAGAGCAGAGCACAGGGCCTGACATAGGGCTCGAGATCACAACCTGAACGGAAACCTAGAGTAGTCGGAGCTTAACTGCCACCCAGGCGGTGGATTTGGGTTTTATTGATAAAATAGTTATCAATGAAGAGCTGTGTGTGTCATCTTACTTTTGTACAGCTATATTAAAAGAAAATAATTTTGCATTATCAAGTATTTTACTCAAGAAGTTTTAACATTTACTTGTTTGTTATCATTCTTTTAAAAAAATGAATATTCTTTTTTTTAACACAACATTGTTGCCTGCCTCATTTTTTTTTTTTTAAGATTTTATTTATTTGACAGAGAGACAGCGAGAGAGGGAACACAAGCAGGGGGAGTGGGAGAGGGAGAAGCAGGCCTCCCGCGGAGCAGGGAGCCCGATGTGGGGCTTGATCCCAGGACCCTGGGATCATGACCTGAGCCGAAGGCAGACGCCCAACGACTGAGCCACCCAGGCGCCCCAAAAAATAAATATTCTTAATTTTTATTTTCTTCTGAGCTGTCTTTTATACCCTTCATTCACTTTTATATCATCTTCACTTTAAAGTAAAATATATTGAGGTAAAAAAGACAGACTAGAAAACACCACCTTTTTGTGTAAGCCAGAAGAAAGACTTGGCAAACTTACCAAGTGCTGTTTATGCTTATGGAATTATTCAGTGTGTATCGCTTGGTCAATCTCATTTCTATAGTAATCAAAATATTCCAAGTCATTTTATATCATTGAATGCTGAATGGGAGGTCTAATTGAGTTAGATTATTAAGAGAAAATCCAGTAGCATATTTGATGCTCTGAAAATGTCATATAAATCTTGAATTTCTTTACATCTTATTTTTATTACAGATTCTGAAGAATATTTCTGTGTGAAAAGAATTTTCTCAGGGGGAGATCAAAGCTTTTCACATTATTCTAATCGCCAGGTAATAGTAGTCATACAAATAATTACTGAGCTCAAATAACTTTGAAGAATTTTTAAAGCCCATATTAATGTTCTTTGTATGTTACAAAGTAATTGCCTTAAATTTTTTTGTCCCCAAGTCTACAGAATTTTTCTGATCTAGTTGATAAGTATTGTTTCAGGTATTTAGTAGAGATATGTTCTGTTAAAAAAAAAAAAACCTAAATAGTGGAGACATGCCTTGGTGTAAGTTATATATATATCTTCTTTCTGGCTAATCTACTTATTTTAAATTTAGAACTGTGGACCACCAGATGACTTTAGATGTCCTGATCCTTCGAAGCAGATCTGGACTGTGAATGAAGCTCTAATTCAAAAATGGCTGAGCTACCCCTCTGGAAGGTTGCCTGTGGAGATAGCCAAGTAAGAAAAACATTTTACCTACACAACACAAACACAACCTTTTACCTTCATGGTAGTGCTATCTTGTACTTAGAAGTAAAAATACTTAGAAGTTTTTATTTTAATAAATATTTTATTAATATCACTCACCAAAAAAAAAAAATCATACATAAGTTTAAATGTCTAGAATTTCTTTAATAATGTATATTTTAAGAGATCTCATTTGAATTTATATATGTTGTAATTCTTTCATATACATAATATTAAATGATAACTTAAAATATTAAACACAATCACTTTAGGATTGGGTTTAAAATAATGTTACTTCTTAGCTTCCTAGTGTTTACTGTCTTTTAACTTTTATACTCCCTAAAAGACTTAAGTATTAAATCTTTCTTGAATATTTTGCTTATAGATGAACTTGTTTAGTAGTTAGAGTTTTCTGTTACTGCAGGTAGCATTGGTTTTGGGGATGAGGGACTATATCTGAGAAGCTGTCTTTTAATTATAGGTTGTTTTCCCAAATTAAAATTTTTCTTAAAAGCCAAAGAGTGGACTTCAAAAAAAAATAACATCCTACATTAGATTTACCATCATGTATAATTAAGAAAATTAAATGTATATGTTTATGTAAAAAAAATCTTTTTTAACAACATCAGATTTGTGTCTGTGGTCATACCACCCTGAATGCCCCTGATCTCTTTTGATTTCGGAAGCTGAGCAGGGTTGGGCCTGGTTAGTACTTGGATGGGAGACCGCCTGGGAATACTGGGTGCTGTAGGCTTTAAAAAAAAAAGAAAGAACGAACATAGGATTAGTCTGATGAATTTGAGAAAGTCTAGGGTAAGCAGTATTACTTTAATCCTTAGTAATTTATAAAATTTTGATTTATACTGGTTGAGTATTGGTTAGAGGAATGCTCTGTGGCATTAAATATTATATTAAATATTTTGATTAAAAAATGTGAACAGTAGATTTCTCATTTTGTGATTTGGGGATTTTTAACTTTCTTTTTAGTGAAATAGATGGAACGTTTTCTTCCTCTGGTTGTCTAAATGGAAGCTTTCTAGCTGTTAGGTAAGTGGTAATTCTTTGGTATACGGAATTTTTAAAATTTATTGTATTAAATAATATATTAAATAAGTGAAATAACTTTAAGGCTTTATTATTTTCCTTCTCTCTCTCTTCTTTTTCTGTTTTTTTCTTTTATAGCAATGATGATCACTATAGAACAGGCACCAGATTTTCAGGGGTTGATATGAATGCTGCTAGGCTTTTATTCCACAAACTTATACAACCTGATCATCCTCAGATATCTCAGCAGGTTTGTTCTTAAAGTATTTTATATTTGTGTTATGTAGCCTGTTGAACTTTATATTCCATGTTATTTTGTGTATTTATAGCCTAATTAACTTTATAGTTTCAAATGTTTCATTGTGATGTGCTTTCTGTGATTTTTTTTATGTAAGCTAATACAAGAATTAAAATAAGGTTTTATTTTAAAGAATTTACAGTTTAGCTATCAAATATCTGTAAATCTCTCCAGATGTTTGAGTAGAACTTTAATACTTAACATTACCATGTTGGTTTATATGGGTATAGCTAGAGAGAATTTAAATTGAGACTTACGCACAAGATTTTTAAAATGCTCTTAGCAATGCTTAGGCATTAATTTTCACTGTGCTTCAAAGTACATTCAGTGATTCATTGTAAGATACATTTTTTCACCATTTCATGTTTGCTGTGTTTATGATTTTTCTTCTTCTTTTTGGAAAGTACATTGATTTTAAATAAAGTAGGTTTTACTTTTTGTCAAAATATAGGTGGCAGCTAGTTTGGAAAAGAATCTTATTCCTAAACTGACTAGCTCCTTACCTGATGTTGAAGCATTGAGGTTTTATCTTACTCTACCAGAATGCCCCCTGATGAGTGATTCCAACAATTTCACAACAATAGCAATTCCCTTTGGTACAGCTCTTGTGAACCTAGAAAAGGCACCATTGAAAGTACTTGGTAAGAATTTTAGTCTTTTTTTCTTTTGTAACTTTTTCTCTTTAAATGAAAATGCTAATAAGTTTTTAATTTTTTTTGCTGTCTGAAATTTTGCTACCCTGCTTATTTGACAGTGTCTTACAGAAAAATAAACCTGTTTTTCTTTTATTGCTTTTTTCTAGTCATGCTGGTTGTTAGAGGCAAAGCATGTTAAATATTAAAATTTTAATCAGAGACCATATCAGGAAAGATAACAACTATTTTCTGTATTCCCCTCCCTCATCCCCTTGGTCTTGCTATTAAAGAAGTAAAGGTGGAGGAACAATTAAAACTGACAAACATGGGTATTAAATCCTCTTTGAACTCTGTTAACTCTTTGCCTTGTATATCTCTCACTTGCTAATTTCCCTTGTTTGATTTTATTTCTCTCCATGTAGAAGAGATTCTAACCACTAATCTGATTTTATTGTTCTGTCTCTGTCTCCTGTAATTTTTTGGCCTAAACTTTTCTCACTTTAATTTTTCAATTTGTATGGATTTCATCCCTGTCTCCTGGCCATTATAGTTTGTTTGCTACATTTAACCCAATACTTTCCTTCCTGATAGAATTTATAGGTTTGTGAAGCTAAGATATATAGAAGTCATAAAATCAGTACAGAAAGTTTTAGGCTGAGAGTGAGCAGAGGGAAGTAGTAAGCAAAGAGTAGAATCCTCAATTCTGAGATAATTAGTGAATAAGAGTGAAGCAGGGACTGACGAGTATTGCTTCCATGTTGTCAAAAGTTTTTGTATTTCTGCCTGCTTAATAAGATTATGGTATTTGTAGTTAATAACTACAAACAAATAGTGATTGTGGGGAAGAACAGACATGTTAATACTTTACATTGTTCTCAGTGTCCAATTTTTAGGATTACCTTGCATTTTAAAGGTGGTACTTCATAACATTTCAGTTTTATGTTAAGTTGAAAGATATAACTTGGAAAGATCCCTAAATATTGGGATTTAAGAATCTTTAAAAATTAAAATTCTAATTTTCAAAGCACTTTTTTTTTTTAAAAAGATGTGGTGTGGTTTTTTTTTAAGTTTATTGTTTTTAATCTGTACACCCAACATGGGTCTCAAACTCCTGACCCTGAGATAAAGAGTCACATGCCCTTCCTGTTGAGCTAGCCAGGTACCCACCCCCAAAGCACTTTTTAGTAACTGATTTTAATGTTAGGTATAGTAGTGAGTTTTTAATATAATGTAGGAAGCCAAGAAATAAATTCAGTAGACCTTTCTTTATTTTTGCTTCTGAGAGCTTTTAGAACAGCATTCTTTAACTTGAGAGTAGGATGGTGTCTGTAAACCCTAGAAATGTTTCATAAAATACTGTGTTAAATGGATCTTCTTGAGATTTTGAAAGGGTTAAGACTACTGCTTTTAGAAGAAAAGTCTTGTATGATTTTGAAAAGTGTGATTTAAAAAAAATTCATTTTATTTGTATGTTCACCCTTTAATAACAGAAAACTGGTGGTCAGTACTTGAACCTCCACTATTCCTCAAGATTGTAGAACTTTTTAAGGAAGTTGTGGTACATCTTTTGAAACTCTACAAGATCGGCATTCCCCCTTCTGAAAGAAGAATTTTCAACAATTTTCTTCATACTGCATTAAAGGTTTTAGAAATATTGCATAGGGTATGTCCAATAGTTCTTTTATTTTCCTCGTTGCTGCCTAACAGATTGATGATGTTTATTTTAACATTAATATTATAGATTTAGGTTAGCATAAGAGATATAGATTACAGATATTTAGAAAGTTATCTAAATTTTTCTTAAAAAAATAATACTTCGGAGTTTTGGTCTTACTTCACTTTGTTAGGCATTTGTGGGTAACTTGTCTGTAGTTGGGCAGAACAATAGCATACTAATGAATTAGAATTCTTATATTTCCTTGTGAAGAACATAATTTGTTAATTTAAATATGATTTTTGTCATTTATAAGTGGTTATTATATGAGAGAGATTGCATCCTAGCTGTGATTATGAATATTTAAACTCAAGTTCTTTTGTTATTGGGTACTAATGGTTTCAATCAAAGTAGAACATTCCACTTGAAACAAACGAGTAACTTGAAATTGGAACCATATATAATTCATTAATTTGCCTATTGTTCTTTCCTGCCCTTCTTCCCAGTGTAAGAAATAGTACCCTTTACACTTGTAGCAGTTCAAAGTTATATGAAGAAGTAGAGTCTCAGCTGTTTCATTAAAGATGGATTTGAGACATCCCTGACAGCTGGTAGGTATATCTCTGTTATGCCATTTGGTATTCTTGAGAAGCTATTTTGGGAGACATGACCTAAGGGAGAAGCATATGTTTCTTATCTCTAGAATCACTAAAAAACCCATTCGAACCTTTAATCTTTAGTTTCCTCTCCTTACTTAGCTTCTTGAGCATTTTCAGACCCTTCTGGCCTAGTACTAAGGTAAATGTTAAGGGATAAAAGAGATAATCCTTCTTATTCTTTTAGTGGGGTTCCTGGGTATTTCCTCAGTTAAACTTCTTGAATTTACTTTTTTCTTTGGTATTGAGTATGTTCAAGATTCCTAGTAAAATAGTCATTTCTCTTATTATAATTGAAGAGATGATTGCAATTTCTTTCCATGGGGAAACAAGTCATTCTGTCTTTTGCCTTTCCCAAAACAAGGCTTTCTTGCAGAATTTTAGGGTTAATTGGATTGCGCAATAAACTGCTGTTAAGATCCTCTATCTTCATAGGATGAGTCTCTACTTTTCTCTATGCCTTTTGTCTAGACAGGGATTCAAGAGATTAATTAGATTTTTTTTCTTTCCTCTGGACTCTGTTTTCCTGTTACTTCAGTGAACCATCCTTTGTCAGCTGGACCCTATTGCCAAATAATTATTCACTCTCTCACTTCTTTATCTGTTTGTCTTTATTACTCCTTTAAAAAATAATTGTTTCCTTAGCTGTATCTTTTACCACAAGTTAAGGAGAAGGTGGGAGAAGGAGGGGAAATTGAACTTTTTTTTCACAAAGACTGAACTTGAGCAAGTAACTTAAGTTCTTTGCCTAGCTCAGAAGCCTCAACGTGTACTGAGGTACAACCCTATGGGGCTTCGTCTCCAGAGACCTTTTTGATGGAGCCATGCTAGATACTAGGATCCGATGTTCTTGCTGGCTAAAAGGGAAGAGGAAATAATTTTAACAGTGGCCAAGATTAGAACCTCCCTTGTACATTAATGCATGTGAGCACTTGACATATAGTCTTCATTTAACTTCTTAAACTCTGTATAGTTTATATTTTGCCCCCTAATCTAAATGTCAAAGATCATAAACCAATAAATAACAGAGTTGAAATACAAATACAAATCTACTTCCAAAGGCCTTGCCATTTTTAATGTACTTCTCTTAGTGGGTATGGTAATAGAACATGTTTAGAAAGGGGTTTGTTTTTATTTTATGCCCCTAGATCTAGAGGTTCATACTTACATAATTGCAGATGGCATTTTATTGTTAAAAGACCATTTTTGCTGCTTCCTATCAGTGTAATTTTGAACAAGTCTTTCTCTTCATCATATATGTAAGTGGAGAATTAATTATCTATAAAAAAAGGATTAAAATACTAGCCTTGATAGTTTCCCAGGATTAATGTATTATTCAAATTATATAATATATGTAATATTCCACATTCATAAGGCACTGATTTTGTTACCACCACTACCACATTTGGATGGGAAACGGCTACTTTCAATTTGATTTATTGGGTTATGAGGAAACTGGGTTGTTGTTTGAAGTTGTTACATACTCAAAAGCAGAATGATGTTATTAATGTCTGAAGCATCTCTTACTGGGAGTCCTTAGGGCAATCAGTTATCTTTCTCCTACTCCTTACTTTGAAGAAAACTTTCCTTGGTCTTAATCTGCCATAAATAGATATTTGTGGTTATTAACCATCGGGGATGATTCATTTTCATTTTTAGTGAAACCCAAGTTGCTTCTCAGAAACTTGTATTTTCAAAGACACCTTCTGTATGACAGCTGTGAATATATTCTTTCTCTCTGATCCATGGTTGAAAATTAGAAGTTTCCTCAAATGGTTGCCTTCTTGACCTACTGGTCAAGGATTAGGAACTAGAGAATTGGATCGTGTGTTTACTAATCATTTCAGGATATGTGGATGACTGGTTCCTCCCTTATGTCATGTCCTTTCAAAAGCTTTTAAGTTAAAAATCACTCCCAGTGTTCCAAATGGTATTATAAGAAAGATAGCTTTGGTACTTGCTGTCAGGAATGGATATATTACCAGGTAATGAGTTTATTGGCAAGTTGTTCAGTTATTTAGTAGTTTTTTGAGTTTTGACACAGTACATTGTAGAGATACTGAGATGCCGAAAGAGAAGACTGACTTGGTCTCTCTTGCCTAATTGCTACATATCATGCTAATCTTCTAAATCAGTGATTTTCAAAAAAAAATTTTTTTTGGTAAAGAACCCCTAAATAAACCAGATAAGGCACACATATATACTTAACGTATACTACCTCTGAACTGAGGTTTATAAACCAGAATACTAAACAGTAATGAAAATGTGAAATAAAAGTGTTATGATCAAACATGTATAGATTTTATTTTGTATATTTTAGGCAATAATACTAATGTATAGGTTGTTTTGAACTTGTGATTTCTTTTTTATTCATTTTACGAATATTTACTGAGTGCCTACTATGTTCTTATCATTGTATTAGACATTAGGGATGCAGTGATAAAGAAAAGATGTGATTTCTGCTCTTGTTGAGATTATAAATGTAGAGCAGTTACATACATACAAATAAATAAGCATTTGTGGTAAGTGCAAGATTAAGGAAAATTAAGGGTGCTGTGAGAACACATAAGAGGGCTCATACTCTGAAGAATAAATGAAGGCTTCCTGGACAAAATAATGTCAATGTTATCTACCATACAAATGTATTTATATATATATATTTTTTAAAACTGTTGATTTTATATGTAAATATATATATGTATGAGGTCTTTTAGATCAGTCTTCTTGTTCAGTCTCTTAATTTCCCTGTTTTTAAAAGCAGTGTTAACTGATTTTCTCTTCAGTTGTTAAATCATTGTGACTGAATTATCAGCCATAATTTCCCCCCTAGTGTAAATCTGATATTTGACTGTTTTTGAACCAGAACTGGTTTCTGAATTGTTTTTATTCTAACATAGCACTTCTTTCCAAAAACAGATCTATCTGCAGGATATACAAAATGAAAACATTGGTTGCTGTTGGCGAAGGAAACTACAGTTTACCTTTTAAAATCTAAAATATTTAAGATAAAAATATATATTGGTCAGTGAGATGTGAAGCATTTTGTACAGGACTCACTAAATTTTAGAGTCCAATGTGATTAAAAGTTTGTGTTTATGTTTATAAACAAATATTAGACAGGGAAAGGCCAAAGAGTTTTTTGTGTAATTATTGTGTATGTTTTATTTATTAGTAGACAGAGCTTGGCAAAAGATGCTAGGGCAGGGGCCTGCAAATTTTACCTGTAAAGGGCCAGGTAGTAATATTTTATACTTTACAAGCCATATGGTTTCTCTTGAAATTACTCAACTCTCAAAAAAAAAAAAAAAAAGTTCTCAACTCTGCTGCAGACAGTATGTAGATGGATGGGCATGGCAACTTTCCAGTACATTATTTACAAAAACAGTCTGTGGGCAGGATTTGGCTCACAGGCTATAAGTTTGCTGACCCCTTCTCTCAGATGAAGGTTTTGATCTCCATATATAAATTAAATATCTTTGTTTTGTTTGAAAGCCAGGAATAGTGGTTTTACTCTGGTCAGTTTCTCCCAAATGTGTTTCCTGACCACAGATAAAATTTAATCCCACAGTGAAAAAGCTCAGAGTGCTTTTGTCACCAAATAGAGGGATTAAAAGTATCAACTTTGAAAATGACAGCAGCAGCATTTTTTTTTAAAGATTTATTTGTTTATCTGAGAGAGTACGCATGCACATGCTTGCGTGCAGTGGGGAGAGTGGGGAAGGAGAAGAAAGGGAGAGAATCTCAGGCAAGACTCCCCACTGAATGTGGAGCCCAGTGCGGGGCTTGATCCCATGACCCTGAAATCATGACCTAAGCCAAAATCAAGAGTCAGATATGAACACAGCATTATTAACATGTGCTTTTTAAACTGGGTTATTTGTTCCCTTAAGAGTAGACCATAGGATCAAGCATTGGTTGTACTTGATGACAGTTTTACTTATTTAAAAAATTCTAAAAAAATAAATAAATAAAATTAAAATTAAAAAATTCTTTAAAGTTTATTTATTGGGGTACCTGTGTGGCTCAGTCGGTTAAGTGGCTGCCTTGGGCTCTGGTCATGATCCCAGATAAGGGACACATATATACTTAACATATACTGCCTCTGAACTGAGGTTTATAAACCAGAACACTAAACAGTAATGAAAATGTGAAATAAAAGTGTTATGATCAAACAAATATAGATTTTATTTTGTATATTTTAGGCAATAATACTAATGTATCCCTCTGCCTGCTGCTCCCCCTGCTTGTGCTTGCTCTCTCCTCCCACACTTTGTCAAATGAATAAAAAATCTTTTAAAAATAATAATAAAACAAAGCTTACTTATTTATTTTTAAGTAATCTCTGCACCCAGT